CAAGGTGCCCTACACGAACGCGTAATTGAAGGAGACTTGCCTCCGCTACACCTTTTTATTTTTTGTTTTTGGTTACAGATGAAAACATAAAATAGTCAAAGACAAATGCCGATCCAAAGTACAAAATGAAAAGATAAAATAATATATAACTTTACTGTCTTATAAGTAAAACTTTTAAAATTTAAAATTAAATATAAATATTACACATATATATATATATATATATATAAATATGTTTTTAGTTCTTCAAAATTAGAATAATTCTGTTTTTGTCCCTCAAATTTAAAATTATTATTTTAAGTCCCTATAATTTCAAAAAATCTTATTTTAGTCCTTATATTCAAAATTTTTTAAGAAATTTATCAAACATTATTGCATAAAATCTACCTAATAGTATCCCTATCAGTGAAAATATCACATTAAATCCGGTTGATGTTGCATAACTGTATTAATTAGTCACTTTTAAATATGTTATTAGTGACCTAAGGGACTAAAATAAGATTTTTGAAAATTATAGGGACTAAAAACAATAGTTTTAAATTTAAGGGACCAAAATCATATTTGTCTTAAATTTGAGGGACTAAAAACATATTTAAGCCTATTATTTATTAATCTTATTATCATAGGATATTGTATAATCATTTATCTATCAAGTTTAAATTCTATTTTGGTCTAATAATATCTAAAGAAACTAAAATATGATTAGACTAAAAATTAAACTAACTAATATAATAACTAAAAATTAAAATACAACAACTTTAATAGAATAACTAAAATATTATAATTTAAAATTTTTAGTTAAGAATTTACATAATAATATAATATTTTTTACAATTAATTATATATATATAAAATGTCTGTCTATAACCTGGTGCAATGGTTTGTTTATTTGCTACATCACTCATGGATCTCAGGTTCGAGACATGACACGCCTCATCCAAACCAAAAAAGAACAAAAAAAAAATATAAATAAATATGTAAAATAACATGATGGATATTGGATACTATAAAATCTGTACCATATTTCCATCTTCGAATTTTGGGAGTAAATTTTGACCATATCCCCATTTTTATTTATGTAAGTTTTTATCTTTTCCATTAAGAGTATTTTTTTTCAAGTATTTATAAGACTCACATTTTTTCATGCCCCGAATAAGATGCAAAACTCATTAAAAATTTGTAATATTCAATAAATTTGAATGCATATTAAAGTGTTAAAAAGAAAATGTTACAAAAAGTATATTGCTAATACTTGTGCATTTGTATCACATTATATTAATTTATTATTAAGTTATATAGTTGGAATTTTTCTTTATCATTCACCACTATAGTGGCTAACTTTTTCAAGAGAAACTCACCCGAGCGCAACCAAACAATTCTTCTTCAAATGTAGAACATTCTTGTAACGTGATTATATAGTCCTTGTGCTTGGGGGAAAAGAAGACAACTAGAGGCATATTCAGAATAAAGTGTGATTTTAAGGGCAATGTTGAATTCAGATCAGCCGGTCAACTCAGATGGTATAAATACATTGCGTTATGTAACGAATAACCTAATTTACAAAGAATATAAAGCATAGAAAGCAAAATATGTTAGGAAAATGAGATTTACAGCAAAGGAAATGCATTGGCAAGTGAGTCATCTAACTCAAACGTTCCAAGACCCTGATTTATTCTGTGAGAATTTAGTTGTTGAGTCATTGTCTCTACTCCTCCAGCTACTCTGAGACTCATTGAAGAAAGATGAACTATCTTGGCTCCCAAAAGCCATCCTTCTAAACATTCTGATTTGTGCAGATTGCTGTGCAGAATCGAAAACCGAACTCTGCCCTGGTTTCATGCCATTGTTGAGATCCGTAAACTCATCTAAGGAATCTAAAGCTCTCACCACCTGGCAAGCAAGCATGCACAGTTAATAAGTATCTTCAAAATCACAACTAATATATATCTTCTGCACTGCATGGCATGGCATGGCATGCAGCATGTCTAATTCAAGAGAATAAAATTACCTGACTCATACGTGGCCTCTTCACCGAGGAGTGGCGTACACAGGCTGCAGCAGCTTCGATCATCCGAAACATTTCATTTCTATCATAGTTCTTTCCCAGTCTTGGATCCACCAAAATTTCAAAATCTTCATTGTCAAGTGCTTCCGTCAACAGAGGCCGGGCCTGGAAACAAGTTTGTTACTAAATTAAAATGTGGAACTGCTTGCTAATCCATTCCATTCCCTTACTATGTTTCTTTTTCATTATAATCTTCCTTCAGCATTAGAAATTTTGGTTAAAAAATATAGACGGTATAGAATTCTATCCAGAATAGGAAAAGTGTGATCTTCCTTGATTCAAGCACTTTGGTTATCTATCTTTGGATAGCTGTATTTGTTTTTTCAATTCTCTGTTTTCACTGATTGCAAAAATGTTATTTTGTTTTCATTTTGTTTCCTGTTTTCAGAAATTTTAGATGATGATAGCAAGATTTTTTTTTGTTTGACAATATCTGAACCTATGAAGCCATGTCAAATAATAAAGATAGGAACCCTTCTGTAAACTAAAAAACCTACGAACCTACTTTTCTTCATGTATGTCATATAAATAATAATTTTAAATCACTTCCATAATCCAGTTTCCATTTCCAGGTTATCTCTAATCTCACTGCCAAAAGAAAACAAGGAAAAAACCTTGGTGATTGGTTTGCTCAGTTTACATTTTCAATTCTCTGTTTTCACTGATAATTGTAAAAATGTTAGTTTTTATTTAGTTTCAGGTTTTCAGAATTTTTAAATGGTGAAAACAAGATTTTGTTGTTTTACAATACATGAAGGTACCCTTGAGTAAACTAAAAATCCTATAAATAATACTCAATAAGGAAAGCAATGTTGAGGGAAATACGTGACTCACCCATTCAACCAAGCTCTCATCACCGATTGGTTGAGATGCATCTACAGGCTTCCGACCTGTAATTAGCTCCAAAAGCACAACCCCAAAGGAATATACATCAGACTTTTCAGTCAGTTTCCCACTTGTTGCATATTCTGGTGCCATGTACCTGCCAATTCAAATCATCATTCCCTTTAGGTATACATGGAATAGGAACAGCTCATACTTGAGTATTATCAATATCCAAAATAGCTTCACAAGTCAAAAAAGGGCCTACAACAAGGCAGTGAAGGCACAACAGATCAAAGATCAATAGATAATTTCCATACAAGATACAATATATCTAAGATGTAACCTACCCAAAGGTTCCCATTACACGTGTAGTTACATGTGTATTTGAATCTAATGCCAATTTTGCAAGCCCAAAGTCCGAAACCTGATGACCAAATCATACCAAAAGAAACAACAATTGAAGTCACAATCAAAAAAATAATGGAAGATGCCAGATTGTCAGTGCATCAGAGGTACAGATTATAAAAGTAGCTTACTCGAGCTTCATAGTTAAGATCAAGCAAGATGTTTGATGACTTGATATCTCGATGAATAATGCGTGGATGGCCTGATAAATTAATTAAAAAGAAATAAGAAGATAAACAGTATAATATGCTATAAAATCCAAAAATGATAGTGTAAAAACATAGGTAATTGTGAATGTACAATCAACAATAATGCAACCATGTCTGATGTTAGCATCTTTATTGTGGTTGCAAAATTTCTAAAGAACTTGGTGCACTAAGTTTAAAGAAAAATATGTACTTTAAAGAATGTCTCCAACTCCAAGCATAAAAAGAACATGTAGTACCATGGAAACACAGTGTCTTCAGTTTATAATTATACACATGAGAATAATATGGAAAAGAAGAAACTTACAGTCTTCATGCAGGTAAGCTATTCCACGAGCTGCACCAGCAGCAACCTTGGCTCTAGTAGACCAATCCAGAACTGGTCTATTTTCACCTGCGAAATTTTAAATTTACTGGTCAAGTTTTAGATCAAGGTTTAGGTAAACAATAAAGTCCTTAAACCTAAAACATGGGTTTATAACAGCACGAATTGTATATTCAAGTGCAACGATGGTGATGATAATCAATTCATGGAAAAACAATAAATTCTGTATTTCTTTTCTACTACCATAGTGCATACTGATAAATCCATCATTTTTTAATATTCTTTAATTTCACTAAAATATTAAAATAACATAAAAAGAAGTGTTCAAATCATTCATCAACAAGCCAATAAATGAACTTTAAATGATACTTCCAAGGCTGGCCCAACATATTGTTAAGGCCTAAAACAAATCTTAAAATAAGACTTTTTTAAAATTAATAATAATATCTTTTGATAAAAAAAACGTTTTAGATATGAGTCTTGAAAAAAAAACAATTATATTTGCATATATCGTTTAAAGATGACCTTTTAGAGTGAACTTTTAAAAATATAAAAAGTGATTTTTGAGTTATAGGAAAAAATTATATAAATATTAATAAATAAAAAAATTTAAGAGGATCTAAAGCAAGGGCTTCACTGGCCTTATTGCTTGGGCCCGCCCTCATACTTCTTTCATGGTTTATCAAAAGAATATATCAAACAAATCAACTGTATAAAGCATGGAAACACCATTTTGGTGCCATGTACATGTCGGGCACGTGTTTGAGTCAACCTTTGTATGACAACACACTAACTACATGTATCCAACACAAGCATGGATGTGTCCATTATTTTTTTCTTTTTTTTTTGGCTCTAGCATGGTGTGATACAGCATACACATGACATGGACATTTAAAAGAAAATAAACATAAGTCTGTTTTAAACTTTTAAGAAATATTCAAAAATAAAAATTAAATATAAGGCACAGGTGCTGATATCAATCTAGTAAATTATTGACTAAACACGTTATTTGTACATGGCTAGATCTACATGGACGGGTTCATTTAGGGAATATTTTAAAAAATGTCAACAGAAATGATGCTCCAAGTTTTCAGGTAGGGGCTTACAAAATAGCTAATATTTGTACGTAAGACATATATCAAGATGTTGTAAATGTTGAAGCTAATATATAATATTATGATTAAGAACCTTTTTTTCTTCAATTTTGAATTATGTGTATGTGATGTCTATGTCCTACAACTTTTAGAAACAACTCTAATTTCTTCACACCTAAATTTCTACGCACCTCTCGAAAAATGGGTGTCAAAAACTCATTCTCCTTTTAGAAATTGGCACGTCCCTCTGTCATTGTTAGTGTTTCACAGCTTTTGGTGTTGTAAATTTGTGATGAAGTAACTATTTATGTTTATTAAAGTTATTTAATCAGAGATATGTATCTTACCATGGAGATGGTAATGAAGAGTATTGTTGGGAACATAGTCATATACAAGCAATCTCTGATGCTCAGATATACAGTAACCAACCAACGAAACTAGATGACGATGGTGTACACGGCTAATAATCTCCACTTCTGCCCTGAATTCACGTTCCCCTTGTCCACCACCAACTTTGAGCTGTTTCACAGCAACTTCTCTTCCATCTATGAGCAAACCTTTATAGACACAACCAAATCCACCTTCTCCCAACAAATTTTGTGCTGAAAACCCATCTGTAGCTTGGATAAGTTCTTCATATGTGAACCATGATCTTGAACTACTTACACCACCCGGCTCTGACGGCGAATACACAAAATCACTACCAGATCCGCTACCTACAAAGTTGGCAGGAGACTGTGGCCTCAAGAATAAGGTACCTAAAAGAGAATACCAATGTTTAAAATAATTATTCTAGTATCCATTAACACAAAAAATTGTAGCTGAATTAATAGTTACCATAAACAAATGCCAATTGTGTAGTGCCATACCATTTTAACATAATGCAACCAACATTCCAAAAATTTTTTTCAAACTGGAGTCTAACAAAGTAACAAGAATTATCCAGCTTAATTATCTTACTCAGCTAAAATTTGTCACAAATAATGTAGAAACCGAAGTTGCCACCATGAGCACAAAATAGATTTTTTGGTGAGGTGTTACAAGGGCAGCGTGGGGGTTTAAACCTATAAAACACAAATCTGGCATCACTAACCCAATTCTAGTGCCTCGCAACCAAGTTTAGGGTTCAACAAAGGAATATTATTAATGAGAAATAAAGAGATTGGCAACCACATTGATTTGATTTAAACTGACAACAAAGCAAAAATGGAACAGGATAACAAAATGCAAGATAAAAATGACTGTTATACCAGTTCTAGGCTGTGTAGTTCAAGGTTAACAACAAACAAAATGCAAGAACCAACAAGATTGTATATTCCAAGGTATAGCATACCTGAATTATGGGATGAGGTAAATGGAGAAGGAGCAGCATAACCACCTCTAGATCCTTTATCCTTCTTCGTTTTCTTCTGTACAAACCACACAGCCATAACAAGAAGACTAAGGATAACAAAACCAACTACAATTCCAATAGCCACAGATCCTCCAGTACTCAACCCTCCTGAATGTGAAGGTGCGTTGTTTGTAGCCATATTGTTAGTACCATCATTAGTTGGTCTAGCAGTAGGTTTCTCAGTTGGAAGAGAGGGCAGTGACACGGTTGGACCCCCTGCCGTGGTTTCATTAGTTGGTGGATCAGGTAAAGAATTCGGAGTTGAAGGGAATGAAGGAGGAGTTAATGGCAATGTGGATGGAGGGGGAACATCAGAGGAAGGAGGTTTAGGAGGAGATTGAGAAACTGATGGAGGGGATGCATGTGAAGGAGGTGAAGGACTACTTTTGGGTGGATTCTCCTTCTGTGGAGGGGGAGTGGTGGATGGTGGCCTTGGAACATTGGCTGGAGGAGGAGACTGCGAAATGGGTCTAGAGGGTGGTGGAATTGTTGTGGGAGGCAATTGAGGAGGAGGGGAACCGGCTGGTGGAGACAAATTCGGAGTGGAAGGTGGTGTCTCAGCTGGAGGAGGGGCAGTGATGGCTGGTGGTGAGGGGGGAGACGTTGAAACTGGTGGAGTTGGAGATGCTGGTGGCAATGGTGGTGGAGAATCAGGTGGTGAAGGAGGGGGCAAAGATGGTGGTGGTGTAGTGGATGGTGGTGGAGGAGAGAGTGATGGGGAAGGGGGAGGGGTTACAGGCACTGCCTGAGGAGGAGAAGGAGGTGGAGATGATGGAGCAGGGGAATTGGATGTTTGATTAGGCTGAGGAGAATTGGGAGGTGATGGTGGAGTGGAAGAATTTGTTGGAGAAGATGAAGAAGGAGGTGGTGATGATAAAACACCACCAAGTGCTGGAGGCACTGCAACAGGAGAAGCATTTGGGGAAAGGATGGTTGAAGCCATCACTGCTGCACAAATCTTCCCTCAAGAACAAAATGTACTAGTAAATCACTTTCATCACCCCACTACTTTGATTGTTACTTTCTAAATTCACTAACACTCAAATTTCCAATCGTTTCCGCAGAATGAAGCTCATCACAATACTCTAGATCAAGCAAGCATCAACTAAAGATTTCAGATCAACCCTTCCACAGGCAATGCTCAAATTACTTGAGAGACAAAAAAGCAACACAACCACCTAGACCCAATTTCTAAAAAGAGCTTGGGCAAAGAGCAAAAGTCAATACCCACAAACTACTTTCGAGAAAGCTAGTACTTTTGTAGGGTACAACACCTGACAAAAAGCAAATTCAGTGGGGAAAAGAAACGCAGCTCATAAAACAAAACCTTTTTGCAAATCAAGGAGCATCTTCAAGCATTATGACCCAGATTTGTTACTAGAGAAGCCAAAGTCAAGGTCCAAATGCAGCATACCCAGATCTCCGAAACTCACCCATGAAGTAAAAAAGAAAGCTTGAGCAATATCTGAAAGGAGGGTCTTTGAATTGTGGAAAAGAATGGAAAGTTGAGAAGTGAAGAGAAAAAAGCAGATTTTGCGGAATATGACAATAGTGGCACACACAGACACAGCACACCCCACAATATGTGCAAAGGAGAACGTGGAGACGACTTTGCTCTGTTTCACAGTTCACACACACACACACTCTCTATTTCAGTCCTTCACTCACATGCACTGGTAATGGGAAAAGGTGGTATGCCAATTGAAAATTGGGACAAACAATCATTAAACCATATGCTTTATTTTGTCTTTTACTTTTTCTTTTTTTTTTGAATTGGAGGGACGAGAATACTTCCTAATATTTTATCGCTTTGTGGTTTTATTTTTAATCAGTACTTTAATATCACTAATAAACATACTAAATATTTATTATATATGAATAAATATTATATTTAAATATATAAATTATATTTTAAATATATAAATTATATAATTTTTTACAGTAAAATATAAATGATATTTTATATTTATTAAATAATTTATATTATAATATAATGTATTTCTTTATTTATTAATAATTTATTTTAAAATATTAAAATTTAATTATAAATATTTATATTAAATATTTCTTATTGTTAATAAGTTTGATTTATGAAGATAAAGTACAATGGTTAAGAAATATTTTTTTAATACTATCGTAATTAAGGTATTTAACTCACTAGGTATTTCTACAAGTTTTCAATTAGATTGATTATGAAATCAATTTTTGGTTGTGATTTAATTATACATAAAAAAATTTGTCTCTCCAATAATGTATTTGTGGGATCAAATTACTGTACATTATTATCCATCTTCACAATCAATTACAAATAAAAATTCACCTTTTAATATGAAACTTGTATAATCATAAATGTTAATAACATAAGACATGTAATAAAACTTTAAGAATTTATTCACTTGATGTGTAAGTCAATTAGTAAAAAGATAAGGTAATAACTTTTTATATGACAAAGTTAAAAAGATAAGATTAGATTTGTCGAAAATATCAAGTTAATGTAACAAAATTAATTAAAAACAATTTTAATAAGTTACTAAAATAGTTTCAAATAATTTTCTAAACTATAATCAAATAAACATATTTATCTTTTTTAAAAATATCACTTAAATATCAACAATTCCTTACATATTTCATAATGATTAAAGAAAAAAATTTTAGAAAATTATCCTCTCATTAATGCAAGTTTTAACAATTTCTCACATCCTAAGAAGAGACTAGAAATGTATTAAAATTGATTAAAATCAATTTAGTATTAGCAAAACTGACAGGTGACTTGTTTTTACCCATATGAATCTTATTCATGAGATCTTCAATCACAAAGGTTGGATTACCATCACTTATTTATTTCAAGTGGCTTAACAAAGTCTCATTCTCCTTAATGTTTAATATAACAATATCTTCTTTATTGGTTTAAGTCATAGGACCGGTCAAATTCAATATTGACTTCACATAATAAATAATTTTTAATATTTTTAATTAAATGATTGCTTTATAATCACATTATTGATCTCTATCTTATATTCACAAAGGAATATTTACCGAGAGATTTTTCAACTAGTTTAGCCTCATAATTAGTCATCTCAAGAGCAATAAACTTTAACTTAATAATTATTTATTTGGTCGATCTCAAAGTAATCATATACTACAATTAAGTGTAGTGACACAATCACAAGTGGATTTTGTCTCGATTTGATCAAAGATCCAATTATAATTATCATTGTATTTTTCTTAATTCATGGTATCTCTCACACATCTCATGGTATGTAAAATTTTGTAATATGAAGAACTACACATTGAAACTGTAATCAAATAAAAATAATTGAAAATTTTCTAACAGTTCACACAATTTCCAGCATCTCAAATTATAAATGACTAATATTTTCAAAAGTTAACTTAGAGAACTTCACATCTCAAGAAAGCGATAGAGGTATTGTCTCATAATCAAAACTATAAATTACTCCATCAAGAAGTCAACAAAAGTATACAACTTATAAATACTTTTATCAAGTCCTCCTTTTATCTCAAATCTTAAAAAAAGCCTATAGAGAAAAAAAAAATCTCTCGTTCTTTACAAGAATCATAGTCACTAGCAAAATTTACATCAAAATTCTTAAATCATAATAATATACATATCATAGTATGACCTCAACTTTTTTTGTTTATACATATCACATCTCAACTTAAAAGGTTCACCATAATTGAAAGTCTAGTTTAGTCTAAAAATTATGTATCAAAAAATTAAATATAAACTTACTTGTCATTCACTTGATTTTAAAATCCTAAAACTTTCATATCTTTTTAAGAAAATTTTATCATTATAAGATGAATAATATTGCTTATTAAATCTCCACAAAAGCTTCCATGATTAAAAACCTTAAATATTAATAACTTATTTAAAACAATCGGGAACATAAAAAATACACTTATAAAAATCAATAACTTTTCTAACAATATTAAAATCCACAAAATAAATTCATAAACTAAATAGTAAATTTTCATTCTAACATCATCACATACGTATACTTCAAAAAATAATTTCCATACCTCTAAAAATTATTTTTGATCATTTCCTAATCACATTATCCAAACATAACATTCATGAGAACCGATTATTTAATTTACTAAAAATTAATTCTTCTCACAATAGAGAGAATCTCAATAATTAATTACCCACATCATTTTTTATATAATATTTTGTAATTACTTTTTTCACCTCTTCATCACCATACCTCCTTTTTTTTTTCCTCATAATTAACTTATGACTTCCACATATTCATACAAATTTTTAATTCTCCTTAAAGAGTTTTAACTCAACACATAAATATAAGTCTTTCAACATAGGTCCCTCATGGCATCTTTCAATATTAAACACACATAAAATTGAATAAAGACATACCTGTGACATTTTTTCTAAAAATATGCATTGATGCATTAATTGCAGCCATGCATTAACATGATCATGAAGGCACAAGGCCCCCAAACCTCCTCTAACTTTAACTTAGCATGCACAAAATCTTGATTAATGTCAGGCTTGTAGGCATATAGATTGGGATACTTATACAACTTGTTGGTGCATCAAGTGATCCTCCAAAAATAAATCTTCTACAAAGTGTGCTGCCTCGTTGTCCTCCTCCTCTAATTCATTACTGCAGGTAGATTTTATTATATGTGGGGTACAAAAACCCAACTTCTTCCCAAATGCTAAAAAATATAAAACATTTTTTTCTCACTTCACTAAGCCATTGCTCCAGCAACAATGCGGATGGAAGAGAGAAACATGTTTCTTCGTTTACATGGTAGCACACAAACACTTCCACTCTGTATCTACTGGAACTTGACACTACTTTATCTACACTCCAACGTTTACGTCGTCCTTCAATTTTTTCTAAATTTGAACCGTAACAAAACTCCTACATGTGCTTGTCGCTGCTCAAAAGGAGTACACTCGCACACTCGTAATCCAATTAGGCATTTCACATGAAAAACCCAACATAAATTTCTCCAACATAATTTTTTTATATCCAACACTATAAGTCTTTAAGATTGTTCTACATTATTATCAATCTTTACTCAATTACGAATAAAGATTTATTTTCTAATATGAAACTTGTTAATAACCAAGGATATAACAAGTTTTTTTTTAATAATAATTGAAATAATAAAACTAACAAGTCTTATAAATAAGAATAATCCAAAAATGATAAAGAAGATATATCAGAAAACATATATATAAAACCTTTTAAAATAGATGTATTTATAAGTAAAAAATAACTTAACTAAAATACCAAGTCAACAAGACAAAAATAATTAAAAACAATTTTAATAAGTCACTAAACTAGTTTCAAATAATTTTCTAAACTATAATCAAATAAACATATTTATCTTTTCTTAAAATATCACTCAATATACAACACAAACTCAGCACAAACTCAGGTCCTTCTCACAAACTTAACATGCGTTGTCAATTGAGCTACTGAGTTATTAATAAATTTTTAACGGAGAATGTTTGATATTAAAGAAAATCTTTAACTAATAGCAAATTAAAATAAATTAAGAGAATATAAAGTATATTATTAATAAGAGAATGTTATTAATACTTTTACCAATCAATTACAGTTTACTTTTTGAATGAACATTTTGTTTATTTATTATAAAAATCAACTAATTTACTGTACATTTGTAAGTATATAAATTATTTTTTTATTAATTATTTAACTTATTGAATAATTAATTTATTGTAAATAATATTAATAACACATTTTATAATATATTCTTTCTAATTCATGATTATTATTAATTAAAGTTTATTAAAAATTATAAAGTTATAAGTATGGCTTATCAGTTAAAAAATTACATTAAACCATTATTTTTATTGAATTTTAATCAATAATAAAAGTATATTTAAAAAAAAAAAAGTGTTAGAAATTTTGCCCTAAAAATAACTAGGATTTTAGGTTGGACCTTCGTGATAGAAATATGTTTTTTCTCTTATTATTAGTGCCTTATTGTAAGTTTCCTGATGACAATTGTAAGTTTCTGTTCGGAGTATTTAGTAAGATTCTTTACTTTTTGGTGAAATATTTTGTGTGATTCCATTCCATTCCTCGCTAGGCTTTGATTTTTTTTTTTTTTCACTTGTTGGTTCTAAGGAATAATATTTTTTTTTTTGTCATCACCGATAATCGCCACGTCTTTTTTGATGGCTTAAAAAAATTAGAGTATCTTAATTTTTTTATTATATATTATCATAAAAATTTAATAAAATAAATTCATTCTTAATTATAAATTCCCCTTTTCATTATAATTGTAATTTTATAATGAATTTTATAGAATAAAGAAATTATTTCATTTAATATATCAAGTTGCCCCCTGAATCCGTGTGTTAAATGAAGTATATCCTCAATGCACAACACAACCAAATAAAACTTCGGGAATATAAATTAATCAAAGTTAGTTAGAATAAGCAGTAGTTTACAATAATAAAAAAATGATGATTAGAAAAATGATTTTATTATATATAGTTGGAGAGTAGTGGCACAAAATGTTGCACTGATTGGTTGATTGTGAATTATGGTGTGCATTAAATATAAAGTGTAGTAAGTGAAGAAGAAAAGGAAAAGTATTAGTTGGAATAGTCAGAGGCTGGGAGGTTCATTCCGACTCTTACATATTTTTAAAATGAGAACTCTTTTCATAAATAAAAATTTTAAACATAAAATATTTACTTCTAGTTATTATATGAAAATAGATATTTTGTGCGATAATATTTTAGGAGCATCTCTTTCACTACAAGAAAATAACGATTTTGCGACGGTTATATGGCCTACATTGCGACGGTTACAACTGCCGCAAAGATAACATTGCGACGGTTTGGGAACCGTCGCAGAGTTGTCCGTCACCAAGCAATTTTGCGACGGTTACTAAAACCGTTGCGCAAACCGTCGCAATATTTGAATTGCGACCCTTTTATCAACTGTCGCACGAAATGCCTCAAAATTAATATTACGACCCTTGATGTACTCGTCGCACGAACTGCCTCTATATTAATATTACGACCCTTTTTTTACCTGTCGCACAAAATGCCTCTAAATTAATATTACGACCCTTATATACTCGTCGCACGAACTGCCTCTAAATTAACATTGCGACCCTTCACTTAACCGTCACACAAACTGCCTCTGTATTAGATGACGTGATATTTTTTATATAATTTTTAAAAATACATTTTATATAATTTTTTAAAATTAATTTATTCTTTAACTGTTAATTATTTTCTAAAAATTAATTTATACTTTTAAATAAATTTCATATCACTTTTTAAAAATACATCAATCATTATTTATTTTATTTTATAAATATTTTGTATCACAATTTAATAAAGGTTAATGCATACTTATATTAATATTATATATATATATATATATATTACAATACAATTAAACATTAATTAAATTACAATTTAGGAATTATTACAATAATATATACAACAATCATTTTATATATTTTTTTGTTACAATACTTGTCTAATTATTATTTTTATTTAAACTGTAATATAACTAAACAAAAATAAATAACATAAGCTAATAATAAAATAAAATAAAATTCATAAACATATAGAGTATTAAATTATGCTTCTCATACAACATTAAACAAATTCAAAGAAAACACAAAAGTATCATACAACATTAAACAAATTCAAAGAAAACATAGAAGTATGTATTTAAATTTCTTAATTAGAGTGCATAAATTAAAAGCAAAAAATAAACTAAACAGTGCTAGGTGAATCTAAGTCATGGCCTTCAGGAATATGACTCCCTTCAGAGGAAGGCTTTCCATTTCTGGGTGATTCCAAGTCAGGTGCCTGGAACAAAACAAAAAATTAATAAAAATAAGTAAAAATCAAAAGCATACTAGTGTCAACATTTATCAAGTATATTCAATTTTTCCACCTCTCACTGTGAGTACAAAATAAGCAGCAACATACACTACAATTCATCAAGAGTAAACCAAAAATAATGATCAAAATATAATTTTTCGTTGCATTTCTTCAATACTAACTTCAAAGAAATTACTTTAACTGACAATTCATCATACCTGGGAAGCTTCACGTATTAAAAATTCTTGTATAGCTTCCCTAAATTCTTCATCAACAAGGTAATGACAGCTAAAAGTTGTCACAGGAAGATATCCACGTTAAATCTTGTGTTCACCCTGAGCTCCCGCCTCTACTGTTTTAAGATTCAGTTCTATAGCTGCTTCAATTGCCTGTCATGTCAAAACAAAGACTAAATATATTTTTTGTTTCCCTGATATACTACATCTGAGTTATATGCACACATAATGACAGAAAGATCGAGTATAATTATAGTTTTTCTTCTCTTGATAAAAGAAAAAACTATATTGTAGTCCAAAAATGAAAAGTAAAAGATATCCTCCTAAATCAAATCAAAAAAGAAAAATAAAGCATTTTCATGTTCCTGAAACTTCCATAAACACTGAAGCCAATATAACAAAATGAAAGTGAAAAAGGCGTGGGTGGGGGGAGGGAATTGATAAACAAAAAATGGCGAAGGGTGGAAAAGTTAGAACTCATAAACAACTTGAAAGAAGAGGGTAAAAGCTCCTTTCAACCAAACAATAGGTGGAGGAGTGGCTAAACTAGAGGTTCAAGAGAAAAAAAAAATTATAAGCTGACAATCACTAGGAATCAAAAAGGGAAGTCTATTCCTTAAAAAGATGCAATGGAGGAACGTCTGATTGAAAACTACAACATTATTCCCCAACCATAAAATTAAAACCTAGCAAAAATAGAAATAATCATCTTATAATAATTGAAGGGGAAAAATGAGAAGTACCTGGTAATAACATGCTTCAAAATGCAGACTTCTTATAATGCCTTAACTTTCTCAAATAACTGTATTGAATGAGAGAAATCTTAAAAATAGGAAAGTCAACATATTGAGCTAAAACTAAACAGGGGCAATCTCATCTCATCAAGGAAATCATGTGATTTTTCCCAAATTTTTATAAACACCATTGATGTGTCAAAATTAGTTCCCATTTCATCTCAAAACAGGATGTTTTCAAAAATAGGTCCAGATTCATACTCATCTTTATAAGTTCATAAGTAAGTCTCAACTCATGCAAAATAGGTGCTTCCAAAACCATTAGAACCATCACAAAGTCTACTTTCAACAAAAGTGCCAAAGAAATATAATTGTTGTTATAGCAGTACAGTTTGCATAAAAAACATAGAGCATGTCTAACTCGCAGGGGACAATACCAAACTCATCAAAAATCACACAAGCATCCAAATCATATGTGACCAATTGTGTTAGGATCTTCTTTTTGATGTATAAAAAAAAAAATCGAACCTACCAAGTAAAACCCCACACAAAAAAATCGAACCTCCCCACATACTTCTTTTCTTTTATACTAAATTTCTCCTTTTATATTAAAGAACTTGCCTGATTTCTTTTTTTGGCCAACAGCGGAATTAAACCTTAATTAATGAATGGGATTCAGACTAGTTTTAAAAAATGGGTATATGGTTCTTGCACGTTCAGGATAATTTTGGTGGTTAACACTATTGATAGTACATGGTCATAAAAGCTTTGATACTATCTCGTGAATTAACTACTACTAACACTAACATTATATGGTTTAAGAAAATGGATTATAAAAGAAAACAATTCAAATTGATGGTACATATTTTTTGTCTGAGAAAGCTTTAATGGGCAGAGAAAGCTTTTAAATGATACCTTCACAGTGGAAAGAGTAACAAAAATTATATTTTTAGTTTATTACTATCCATAAGCACAGAATATTTTAAAAGATATGTGGAAGATACGTGGAATATATATTCATATAAACATGCTACCTAAATGCTAATATCTAAATGCTAGCTACCTAAATCATTAGAACATCACATTTAGTACATGAATCAAAATATATTCATATAAACATGCTACCTAAATGCTAATAACTCCAGAAATTCTGAATCAACCTAAAAATTGAGAGAACCCAAAATAATTATGCTTATAACAACAATAAACTTTACTGACACGTGATCATATAATTAATTTCAGGAATAATCTATATTTAATTGGTACAGCAATGAGATTACTTACCCCTGTTTCTTCTTTGACCTCTCTTACTGCTACTACAAAAATATCCTCTTCCTACATAAATTGAACAAGTAGATTATATGCACGTAGTATAGATCCTTATTTCTTTATAACAAAGATATTGAACACATCTACCTGCTCAACAACTCCAGTAGGGAATTTGTAGACTCCAATTCCCTGAAATTGTCCACTATTCTCCTGAACAGCTAGGACCTAACATTGTTGAATAAATAGAAAATAAGATTTTAATCATCAATGAGTTTAGTACCAAGAAAATTAAGATGCTCCTTTGTAAAACTACAATCATGAAAAAGACAGACCAATTCACATGGGGAAACAAGCAAACCCAACACTTGATGTAAAGCTATTTTTTAATTTAAAATGAGAAAATGATCTTCTTAAAAACTAAAATATATTCTCATTAGTATTACTCTACTTTAAAACATATTTTTATTCTATTACAAAAGTGAGCCTGTGGTCTATATTCTATTGGAATATTTATATATATTCATTGAACTCACCGTTCTGGCTGTCATATGCATGTCTGTCTGGTGCTGATTAACAGGTATTTATACACTTTTGCACCGTTTAATTTATGGGTCAACAGAAATGAACATCACATGAAAGGAAAAAGCTCAAATTGTTCAATCATACACGTAAAAACATAGATTGTTATTCACTAACCATCACAAAGGAACACTACGAAGACTTGAGAACGGTTCACACCATAGGGAATCAAGGTAAATTGAAACCCCAAACATTGATATCAAAAAACAAGGCAACCCTAACCATGAAATGTAAGGTGTATTTCTCGCTCCCTCTCGCATTGTAACATAAATAAACTGATTTTTGGTTTGGCGAGTTATGAAAGACTCTCGTGTTTGGGGGTTTTTGAGTCGAGACATAAATGCTACCAATTTGGGGGTAAAAAGAGAAAAAAGATATGTACCAGGGTTTTGTGCTGTAGAGGAGTGGAATAGCTCTTGTGTTGTAGAGGAGCGCAATAGCTTTTGTTGTAGAGGAGCGTAGTCAACAATGTGCGCAGTGCGGCGGGGTGGGCTGCGGTCTCAATGAAGGAGGAGGGTTTTGTGAAAACGGAGCATTTCAGTGAAACAGGCGCGAACAAAATTGAAGCTTTTCGTTTTGTGGCTCATTCTTTATACATTGCGACAACTCTACTAAACTGCCTCAATATTTAACAATTTAACGACAGTTAATGGGAACTGCCATGTAAACCGTCGCAATGTAGAAGCGGAGACGGTTATAGTATAACCGTCGCAATCTCTGGGTCGCGATTTTACTATTTTCTTGTAGTGTTTCAAGAAAGTATTTTTAGACTTTTTTTTTTCGATAAATTTTTTTTAGATTTTTTTAAAGTTCTTATCTATTTCAATTTGTATTTATTATATATATTTTTAAATTAAATTTAATAATTTAAAATAAATTATTAATAATAAAAACAATCTTATATCAACGATATAAATTACTTTTTTACAAATATTAAATATAATTTATAT